GGGAATTTTGTTGGAAGAAGGGCGGCGGCGCGGGTAGGGTGTTGCAGGGAGGCACCAGGACCTGTTTACTCCAGCCGGCAAGATGATTTTTGCACCATAGTGGTAACAACAGCAGGTATTTATTAAGTGATTACTACATTCCAGACCCTGTTCTAATGCTTTAGTTGTTTTAACTCTTTCGGTCCTTCATATGTGAGAGGCTCTAACAGGTGATCAACAGATCCCTATTGCTTTCAGAACACTACAGATGTATGTATGTAGACAGGCAGGTAGATAAACATACAGGGAGACATATCTGTCTATATTTTTTTCTGTCTCTACATGTATTTTGAGACGAGTTCAAACCAAGGGCCTTTGTTGACCAAGTACAAAACCATTGGGTTGAACATAATAAAAGCTGCTGTTCTTAGCTAAATGTGTTTCCTTCCTTTTTCTTTTTTTTGAAAGAGGGCAGTTATGAGATGAGTTCCCTTTAATTCGATAGGATAATTGCTTCTGAAAAACATTTAAAGGAAGAATATTGCGTTTTTTAACTTTCAGCAATGTTTTGCTAAGTAGTTTTCTTTCATGCCCAGAATTCTGTGCTGCTTCCTTTCAAGGAGGGAAGAGGAAATGGTGGGTGTGTGGTGGTGGTATAGCAACTTGACCTCAATTAAATTAAATTTCATCAGGAGGATGGAAGTGGTGAGGAGCCTAGTTGAGAGATCTCCCAGTGTGACAAGCCCTGGGGAGCTGGGCTTCTGGTTTGGGGGCAACTATCCTTTTTTATTTTTTTATTTTTTTTTTTAAGATTTCTTATTTATTTATTCATGAGAGACAGGGGGAGAGAGAGAGGCAGAGGCAGAGGGAGAAGCAGACCCCCCGCGGAGCAGGGAGCCCGACGCGGGGCTCGATCCCAGGACCCTGGGATCACGACCTGAGCCGAAGGCAGGCGCTTAACCATCTGAGCCACCCAGGTGCCCGCAACTATCCTTTTTTAAAACAATAAAATATCTTTTTAAAATTTTATATTCTCCCCAAGGATGCACCCAGGTCTCCAAAGGCTGCCCATTTACAAAAGTTGCCCGTTTGTATAGGTGATTGGCTAATGCCTTTTTCCTTTTGTTCATTCATTGAACAAATATTCATTGTGCATCTCCTATCTACCTGGCCTCTACTGATCACTAGAGGAACTGCAGGGGACAAACCAAAGCTTCTGCACCTTGCAGCCTTCATTCCAGCTGAGGGGGATGGGAAACCAGGGCCAGGAAGAGGTGGGGTGAGTGAGGCACTCTCCTTAAAATCAAAATATAAGGGGGCACCCAAAAACTTAGTAATCAAGATACATTGTATTTTGATGCAGTATTTTAAAAAATCACAATCAATGCAAAGAAGTCCATGTTGAACAAGATATCAAAATTTAAATTTATAACGAAAGGTCAGTGGCAGTAAGTGCAATGCAGAAATTAAATCAAGGTGGGGGTAGTGGATAGAGAAATGGACCGGGGGTGCTCTTTTACTGGGAGAGGTCGGGGAAGGAGCTCTGCAGAGACACCGCCCCCTCCCGCCAGGAGCAGACGTTGAGTCACTCAAAGGAGACAGCCTGGAAAACAGTGGGAAAAGAGTGTTCCTGAAGAGGGAACCGTGAGGCAAGTACCCAGAAGTGGAAACGAACCTGGAGCTCTCAAGGGAGAGATGGGGCCAGTGTGGCTGGAACCAAGAGAGGGAAGGGAAAGTGGGTGACATGATCTGGGATGGGTAGCCAGAGGCCAGTTCATGGAAGGCCTGTGTATTCCTGAGATATGTTTAATGTTTCCCTAAAACTGCAAACTAAAAGTAATTTTTTTTTGTCTTGGATTATGTCGGGATTAATTACTTCTAGTTGTCCACTTTATTTGACTTTAACCCTCTTTGGGACATCCTCAGAAGTGTAACCGTACGTGATGGTTTTGAGACTCTTGAAGAATCCTAACACACAGCCGTTTGTTGTTTTTTCATGCTAACTCTTAAAACGAGTCACTCTGCCTGTCTGCCTTGTCCAGACAAAATTGTAAACTCCAGCTATGGGAGAGCGCATGGGCAGTACTCACCGGAAATCAAACCCTCAAGGTTCGGAAGGCTGAAACATTTGGGAAAGATTGTAATGGGCAGTAGGAGCACTTAGAGTACTTGTTCTTAGCCTGGGCCTCAGTGGGTGATGCATGAAATACATAGATGTGTAAACAGTAGCAAAATTTTCTATGTACCACTGGATATTTTTCTGGGGAATAAGTCCAAAGTTTTCATCAAATTCTCTATCAAGTCCAATAACCCCAAAGAGGTTAAGAAATACCGGTTTTGCCACAGGATGATGGTTTTCTCTTTACTGGTTTTATTCCTCTCCTGCCCTTTAAATCCACAGTTTGACCGGGGTGAAGTTGTCACCAAAGATCCTTGTAAGAGAATATCCTGTCTCAGTTCACTCAGCAAAGGCAGTGGAAAGCAATGGCACCTAATGATACCAGTTTGTCTACTGTGCAGAGAACAAAATGGCTCAAATCACGGAAAGCCCTGAGTACAGGACCTGATACTCTCAGCCAGCTCTCAACACAAATTAGTTGCTGTTGATGATACTAACTCTACAAAAGCTTAAGCTGTGTATCGTCTGCAGCACAGAGCAGCCTACAAACCAATATTCTAAATGAGGAAACCAAGGAGGAAGAGAAAAAAAAAATTCAGCTGCCCGAGAGCTTCAACATCCACCCAGCTGGCCCTGCTGGGCTTCACAGCAGCTTTTGGGGAGAGGTTAAAGAACACGGCATTTGTAGTCACACGGGCCTCATCTGAGAAAGCCTCTCATCTTGTACTCCTTTTACTCGACTGCTGTGGGCCCCTGACCCAAGACTGTACACCTCAGTCTCAGGTTTCTCATTTGGAAAATGGAAGGCATTATATCCCCTACCTCCTAAATTATGAAGACAGAGGAAACAATGATCCAAATCTCCCAGTGCACAGTCATGGTTTAATAAAGAGTAGTTATTTTTATTTTCATTTCTCCAAATGAACTCAGGGAGGGGAAGATTGAGTCTCCAGAAAAGAGCATTGGTTTGAGAGTCTGTCTAAAGATCTTTGCATTTATGCTCTTCTGTAACTTGATTTTCTGTCCTTTGGGGACAGAGGGGGAAAAACTAATATTGTAACCCAGTCCTAGCTCTCCCTCTTACTAGCTGTAGGACCTTGGGCAAGTCCTTTGATCTTTCCCAGCTTCTATTTCCTTACTTGTAAATGGATTCTTATAGTACTTACCAGTTTTAGGGTCTACCAAAACTGGACTTGTCACCCTCCTTGAATGTGTCAGTACTTCCTTTTTGGTTTATTGAGGAAATGAATATTGAGTGTGCCAAAGGTTCTTCCATGCACTGGGGACACAATGGGGACTAAAGCAAAGTCCCTACCCTCACAGACTTTACAATATCTGTGACTGGTATAAAAATAAATCATAAGGCGGGGCGCCTGGGTGGCTCAGGCGTTAAGCGTCTGCCTTCGGCTCGGGTCATGGTCCCAGGGTCCTGGGATCGAGCCCCGCATCGGGCTCCCTGCTCAGCAGGAAGCCTGCCTCTCCCTCTCCCACTCCCCCTGCCTGTGTTCCCTCTCTTGCTGTGTCTCTCTGTCAAATAGATAATAAAATCTTAAAAAAATAATAAAAAAATAAATCATAAGGCAACGAGAGACCAACGAACTAAAGGATTTATTTTCTTTTAATTCCCATTAATTGCGGTAACAGATAATCCTATGTTACAATCCGTGAAGTTTTCATATCCACATATTTTCTGTTCCCAACTGGGGAATATTTCAAATTTTTTTTTTTTTATGTCTCATTTTGGTCAGCAAGGTAACATCCAATTATGTAGGTCCACCTTACTCGCTGTGGTTAGACTTTCCCCTAATATTTATAATAATTAAAGGAACAACTAGAAAAATAGTCAAGAGCATAGAAGCAGACAGTCATGGATTTTAGCAGGGATTTTGCAAGGGATTTGGGTTCTCGTTACAGACCTAGTACAACCTGTCTCTCGGAAAAGGCAGGTAAACATCAGTGTGGCTTTTATACCTGCCTCTGTTCAGTATACCTGATTTTTAATAAAAAGAATAAAGGAGGCTGCGAATCAAATACATGCACATACAGACTCCTTGCAACTTTTCCTCTATAGACCGTATGCATGGCAGTGTCAAAATTTCAGGCCTTAGAGAATCTGACGTCCCCCAGAATCTCCTATAACACCACGTCACAGGATTTGTTGGGAGCGCTGAAGTCACCGTGGTGCTCCATAAAAAGTTCTCACTTAAACACCTAATTGTTATCTGAAATAACAGATGCCATTCACCTGCATCGTTAATTGCATTAACAAAACGCGGCCCTTTCCCTCGCAGCGCTCAGAGCGCGGGGATGTGCCAGACCCACAGTCAGACACGCTGGGGTGGGACGGGGCCCAAGAACGGGGGGTGCTCTTTAGTCACCCCTGCCCCCTAAGCGCGGCGAGCGGTCGCCACGGTGCATCAGAAACCCCGCACCCACCGGAAGGAGGAAGGAACCGGCCGAGCCGGGAGACGTGGACGCTCCGCCAGCCCCTGTGAGTGCAAGGACTGGCTGGAGCTCCGGCAGCCCTAGCCGCGGGGCCTCGCCCAGCTCCTAGCGACGCTCTCCCTGGCAACCGGGGCTTGGCAACGGATCCACCCCACTGCGCCTCGGCGGGCGTGTTGCGTCATCCCTGCGCGCCGGAAATGACTGCAGAGGTCGCCAGGGCCCCCCGGAAGTGGTCGCTGCGGGATATCGCTACTGACTCTGACTCCTGGCTGGCGATGGGTTGCGACGGAGGAACAATCCCCAAGAGACACGAACTGGTGAAGGGACCGAAGAAGGTTGAGAAGGTCAGCGACGTGGGTCCGGTGGGGACCAGCGCTAGGGGGTTCTCCAGGGAGCGAAGGAAGGGCGGGGAGCTAGCGGGGTTCCTGACGCTGCCGTGCTCATTTATCTCATTTGGAGAACTCAGAATTAACAACAATATTAGTATCAGACTTTTATTGAGTGCTTACTGTTGCCACTCACCTGGCAGTACGCTTAATATGCGGTAGCTCGTACAGTTCTCACAACAGCCCTGTGGGCACGTATTGTCATCAGCCTCGCTTTCAGAAATAGAAATTGAGGGCTAAGAGGACAGAGTTGCAACCCTAGTAAGTGGCAGGGCCAGGATTTAAAGCTTGTCTGCCGTTAGTTACAATGAAACAAATGGCTGCTGTTTATTGAGCTTTGTACCCACTTAACTTCATTTTCTCCGGGAATTCGTCCCAAAGGTTCTCTTATCCACATGAGATCAGGTCTTTCTCTTAAAAAACTATCTTACCACCCTGCACACTGCCTTCATGGTTGATTAATGTCAGTCACAGAGAAAGATAAGTTCCCTGTGGCACAGTCTTCACCTTTTCCTCTCTACAGCTAGCACAGTTCTTGGCACAGTAAATACGGTGAGTAAATGAATGAGTGGATAATTCTTAATTCTCACAGGTAACTGAGAAAAATTGTATATAATAATTTTCATGCTACTAACAGGGAAATTGAGTAAGTAACATGACCAGGATCACACAACTGACAGGTAATGAAGCCAGGATTTCCAACCATTTATTCAGGAATTAAAAGTTAGCATTGGTGATTACTTTATTTTTTTAACCCTTTATTTTTTAAATAATCTCTACGCCCATCGTGGGGCTTGAACTCATGACCTCGAGATCAAGAGTCACATGGTCTACCAGCTAAGCCAGGTGCCCCGCATTAGTAATTACTTTTTTCCCTAAGATTTTATTTGTTTGCTTATTTATTTATTTACTTTTAAGATTTTATTTATTCACTTGACAGCGAGAGAGACAGTGAGAGAGGGAACACAAGCCGGGGGAGTGGAGTGGGAAAGGGAGAAGCAGGCTTCCCGTGGAGCAGGGAGCCCGATGGGGGGGGGAATCCCAGGACCCTGGGATCATGACCTGAGCCAAGGCAGATGCTTAACAAGTGAGCCACCCAGGCGCCCCTTATTTATTTATTTAACAGAGAGAGAGAGAGAGCACAAGCAGGGGGAGCAGTAGGCAGAGGGAGAGAGAGAAGCAGACTCCCTGCTGAGCAAGGAGCCCTATGTGGGGCTCGATCGCAGGATCCTGGGATCATGACCCCAGCCGAAGGCAGACTGAGCTACTCAGGCACCCCAGTAATTATTTTTTAATAACAGAAGGCATGTAAAGTACCTAATACAGTGCCTCGCACATGTGGATGCTGCATATATTCTCTATTGAGCAGCTAGAAAATCTTTAAAGGTAAAATCTTTAAAAGGTAAATCTCGTGTATCACTACTATATTTAAAATCCTCCAGCAGCTTTTTGTTATATTCAGAACAAAATCCCACAAGGTCCTGTGTGATCAGATGCCCTGCCGCTCCACCTCATCTTCTACCCCTCTCCGGGTCTTTCATTCTGTTTCAGCCATACAGGCCTTTGTTTCTCAGCCTGGAGTATAATTTCCACAACCTGATAATGTTCTTCACTGAGATGTTCATATCATTTGTTTCTTCACTTCATTCAGTTCTTTCCTCAGATGTCATTTCAGTCCACTATTGCCAAAATACATCTCACTTCCATCGCTCTCTATCCTCTTTTGCTGCTTTACTTTTCTTTATAGTGCTTATCGCTGTTTTCATTTGTTTATTGTCTGTCTTTCTCAGATATGAACGGAGACTTTGTGTCTTACCTTTGTCCACCACACAGTAGACACCTGGTAAATGTGTTGAATTTGAGAATGAATGGACTCTCAAGAGGATGGAGTGTTCCCTCTCATCACACCTACAGATGCATAGACTAATGCTAAATAGTTAACACTCATGAGAGCTTTTCCAAAAAAGTATTCAGCTAGTTTCATTAACTTGTGACCAGGGCTGAAGAGGAGTAGCTTAATGAAAAGCTTGGTAAGGTGTCAGAAGGGGATAGAAAAGAAGAAAGGGTGATCTGAGACAACCAGAGTGCTCAGGCAGGATGGATTTTGTTATCCTTATTTATTCAACAAATACATTATTAAATGCTTATCACAGGCACTATTCTAGGCCCTGGGGACACGGCAGTGAACAGAGTTCAGGCTTTGCATTGCCTACATTTCAAATAGATATATAATAATTTAATATTTTTGATCACTCACATGGTGTGTTTGGTCTGGTAAAACCATTGCTGTAATTTAAGACCTTTCCCTGAAGAGAGACCGGGGTAAAAAAAAAAAATGTTTCAGAAGTTTTTTGGGGTTACCAACCTGGGTAAGGATTAGTTTATCACTTTTCTCCCTGTCCCCAGCTATCCCAATTATCTTTTGAATCAGCAAAGTACTATGGGTAAAGCAGGTGAGGGATCCAGAAAGGAGATCCTGGACTTGCTGAACGTGGTTTTTTGACTCTGCAGTGGGTGTAGTAAATCGACTTCATTGGTGGCAGGTTTTTCTTGGGGCTTGGCTACACTGTGAATTTTGATAAAAGTTATTTAAGCAACCAAAGTATAGCTCTTGGATCTGGGGTATGGGTAGAGTAACAGTTGCAGTAGTGTGGGTTTTGTTTTTATTTTGTTCTATTTGAAATAATAGAAAATCGGTAGAAAGTAGTGATTAAAAGCATGGTCTCTGGGGCACCTGGGTGGTGCAGTTGGTTAAGTGTCTGATTCTTGGTTTCGGCTCAGGTCATGATCTCAGGGTCATGGGATCAAGCCCTTCCTTGGCCTCCGCACTCAACGCAGAGTCTGCTTGAGACTCTCCTCCACCATGCCCCTCCCCCCTTCTCTGTCAAATAAATAAAATCTAAAAAAGAAAAACCACAAAACTTGGTTTCTGGAGCCAGCCTGCTTGGGTTCTTATCTTAGCTTCTTCATCTACTTGCTGTGAGACCTTGGACATGTAACCTAACCTCTTGGTACCTCCATCTCCTCAGTAACAAAGTAAAAATACTAAGTTTTAGGGTTTCTCTGAGGGCTAAAAGATTAAGTCACAGAAACTGCTTAACACAGCACTTGGCACACAGTAAACAAGCAGTTGTTACTGCAAAAAGTAAATTTAAGGGAATTTTTCCGTATTTTTTTTTCCTCTCCCTACTTTCTCCCACTTGTGCCCTCCTATTATCCAGGTTTGGCATTTTAGGAGAGGAAAATAGTGGGACTTGGAATATTAATATAGGTGAAATATCATTTGAGGGCAGTAGAAGGTCTTGTGTTTGGATTTGATTTTTATAAAGAATTATATAGTCTTTGTGCTGAACTTAAAAAAAAATAACTATTTTCTAGATTCTCAGTCTTTAAATTCAGCTAAAACTTCAGAGCCTTTCCCACTGATAGAAATTAGCTTGTATTGCTTATTTTTTCTGTCCTGCTTCTCTAACTTACTGTTAAGGTACAAATGCTAGGGGTACCTGGTTGGCTCAGTCGGAAGAGCGTGTGACACCTGATCTCGGGGGCGTGAGTTCAAGCCCCACGTTGAGTGCAGAGGTTACTAAAAAAATAAATAAACTTTAAAAAATACATACAGACACTAATATTTATATGCAGCTTGTATAAGCAATTTAATGACTTGATATGAACCGTTTTGTTGACATGTCCTGTTTAGTGGGAACTTGATTGGACATGGTATTAGTTACTTGGACTTTTTAATCCCAGCTTCATGTGTCACTATCTTTGATTTAAAAGACAAAAATCATCACATGTGGTATAACTAAATAAGCCCTTATAGGTAGAACTGTGGACCATATATCTTTCAGAGGTGAAAGTTAATTGGAAGGATTTCTTTTCTTTTCTTAGGTTGACAAAGATGCTGAATTAGTGGCCCAATGGAACTATTGTACTCTAAGTCAAGAAATATTAAGGCGACCAATAGTGGCCTGTGAACTTGGCAGGTATGGTTCCTTTTACTTAATTGAGATGAGTTTTTATTAACTAATTTTTAAAAGAATTTTAATGTATAAATGCAGTTCTTGATTCATGAAGTGTGAATCATCTCAAACAAATTTGTGAAGCCTAGGTTATCATTCCCTGTCTCTGAACATACGTCTGCATTTTTCTATTCAGTTTGGTTTATTTAATCCAGGATCTGAAAATTCAGGGGCCAGTAGGAGCTCGGTTATAAACATAAATGCATGAAGGAGCTATGTGGGGTAGTAGGGAATGGTGGGGACTGGAGGAAACTGGAGAGTTCATGTTCTGTCTAAAACGGTAGCTGCTACTCATTTCCAGCCAGTTGTTGCAGTTCAAGAATGTGGGCCTAGTGATTCCAGAACTTCTGATTGTTTTTCCCAGGAAAAGTTGAAAATGTACTTTTACATTACATTTCCCAATTTTTAAGATCCTGTTCAGATCACATTCAGCCCTCAGACCACCAGTTTGCAACCCTTGGTTTAAACTAGTTTCTTTCTTTGTATACTCTGGAAATAGTTGAGACAGGATTTAATTTACTTTTTTAATAATGCAGGGCATTCCTGTTACCAGATGTAAATGACTTTGGATTGTACTGAATTTCGTCTTACTCCTTTGTGTGGAGGTTGACTGTTGCTAGAATGTTCTGACTCATCCTTATTGTTGCAGACTTTATAACAAAGATGCCGTCATTGAGTTTCTATTGGACAAATCTTCCGAAAAGGCTCTTGGGAAGGCAGCATCTCACATTAAAAGCATTAAGGTAAGACCAGTGATTCTGAAGTTCTCCAGGGGTCTCAGTGGTTAACGTTTATTTTATAGAATTCATGTACATTATAGACTGAACTCAGAAATTTGGAATTCTAGTCCCACCCAGCCACCAAATGAAAGTGTGATTTGGGGGTGCCTGGGTGGCTCAGTCGTTAAGCGTCTGCCTTCGGCTCAGGTTACGATCCCAGGGTCCTGGGATCGAGTCCCACATCGGGCTCCCTGCTCAGCGGGAAGCCCGCTTCTCCCTCTCCCACTCCCGCTGCTTGTGTTCCTGCTCTCGCTATCTCTGTCTCTGTCAAGTAAATAAATAAAAATCTTTAAAAAAAAAAGAAAAAAAGTGTGATTTGGGGCAGGTCATTTAAAGCTCAAGCCAAGAGTTCCTATGCCTGTCCTTCCTGCCTTATAAATTTGTTATAATTTAATATGTGCAAAAGAACTTTGAAAACAGTGTGATATATAAATGTTTGGAGACATCATTTTTGTAGTTAAAACTCAGCTACTTGAATTTTTGATTTGGAAGACACTTACAGAATTAGAGAATTTTATAAGGTAGATCATTATTAAGTCAGTGTGATATTTCCTGCTAATTAGATGTTCTGATTGACAGTTAAAATTCTTTTATAAAATGGAAAAAGTTTTTTAGTAAAGGAAGTTGATTGAGAGGACAAAATCTTGCAAATCTGGTCAATGGGAGAAACATCAGGAAGGTGGTAGAGAATTTGAGGACCATCAACCTTGTCAGACACTTCATCTCACAGGTGAGAATACTCACTATCCATGACTTTTTTTTTTTTTTAAAGATTTATTTATTTATTTGACAGAGAGAGACAGCGAGAGAGGGAACACAAGCAGGGGGAGTGGGAGAGGGAGAAGCAGG